AATATATATAATCCAATAATAATTAATATAAATCTTATCCAATAAGATTGTTCGTTAAATGTCATATCATGACAATACTCTCTTAAAATGATGGTTCAGTTCCCTTTTTTATTTCTGAATTTTCTTTTCTAACTCTCTTTTTCTTCTTGTAACTCAAGTTTCCATTTGGTGAACTATTATTGCATTAAATCAGTAAGAAACTTTTTGTTCTATCTATTGATTTTGTATTCATTGTGATAACTCATATTATTATTATTAGTAAAAGATTTTTTAAACTTTATTTATAATATTAATTAGACTAAAGTTATTTAATAATATTATTAATTATTATTATAAAAGAAGTGAGAAAGAACATGGAAAATATTAATTCTTGATTAACAACTTTAATGTCTCTGTTTTTTGATATGAAAATGAGTTCTATTTATTTTAGAGTCCGGAATCGCACATTCATCATATAAAAAAATCTCACACTTTCTCTTCATTCCTACATCCACGATTACTTCTAAATCAGCATCAGTCATCCAGTTTCGATTTACTTGATCATATTTATTCCAAACTTTCTGAATTGCTTTGACCCAGTTATCGAATGTAACATTGCAAATTTTTTCAGTTTTTTTTGTATTCTGAACAGAAGTAATACGTGATGGAATTGGTATCGAATAAAACTTTTGGCATACAGCAAAAATATGTTTGCATGCCATTTCACGAAATCTAAAATCTGAGCATGTACACTCAAAATGTACTGGTTTTAAGTCATTATTTTTTTGTATATCGATATGATCTTTAATATTGACCTCATAATTATTACTGGTTGCTGATTTTATAAGGTAATATTGATTACCAGATAAATTAAAAACATCTAATTCCAATCCAACAAGCTCATGACATCATTGTTCTTTTTGTCTAGGTTTTATTCTTCCAATCATTAAACGTACGATTTCACATTCAAATTGCGCATCTGTTATAGCAGCTCGCAAAATTCAAATTAAAGTATCTATTCGATGATTATGTTTGGCTTTCAGATGAGTATATTTTAATTTTTTATGCCAAGCTTCAATAAAATTCGTCGTATTCATCTCTTGATGTTCATATAAACAATATGCATTGATCCATTTTTCACAGTTTCCTTGATATTCTTCTTTTATATATTTTATCTAGTTCTTTTCACCAAAGACTGTTCACCAAGCAAAATATTCATCAAATTTACTTTGCATTTGGGAAATGTCTCGAATTCTCATAATTGCACCAAGTTCATCCAATGCCACTTTTTGGATTACTTGCTTTTCAGATTGTTTAAAAAGATTATCATTATTTTCATTCTTTTCTCGAGTTTCAAGATAATTACCATTGGCTTTAATTTTACTTTTATTTTTTTGCCAGGCATTCTTGACATGTCACTGGCATAACAAGATATTAGTTTTAGGATATACTGTACAAATTGCGTTTTGTTGTGCATCATCACAATCGGTAAGAAAGGTATGTGACTCCCATTCTTGATTTTGACTTTTAATGGCTTTAAGCCAAATAATTAATGTCTCTTCTGCTTTTCTTTCTGATATCAAATGTGCAATGGGTACACCTTGTTCACCTTCATTGTCACATATAAGTAGCGTAAAGAGATTCGTCTTATGTGATGTTGTTCCATGCGTGCCATCTATGCAAACAGTCTGCGCACTTTTTGACTTCAACATATTCTTCTGAAATTCAGTTTGAAATCTGAACATGAAGCCTAAGGATGACTCCCAGACCAGGTTGCTACAGATATGAGATCCATCTTCCTTTGATAAAATGACCCACTCCTTAATAGAAGTGCTTTCATTATAATCTGTCTCTTTACTACCTAGAAAGATCACGTTCTTTATTTCTTCATGAATGATGTTATACATATCAATATAAGATAGATACATATCTCGCTTTTGTGTTAAAGACAAAAAGCTTAAGTTTTCAGTTTCGTGAAATTGATTAATACGTTGGTGAAATATTGATACTATTTGGGAAGGTTTCATTTCATCTTTTGCTCTTTCATGGATCCATTTTTTTGCCTGTTGAGATATACGTAAGTATCGTAGATCTTCATCAGTACCAGGAGTATGCCCATTATGAAATGTATAGTGAATAATATGAACAGCATTTCCTTTTTCATTATGACGCTTTAATACTCGTAAATATGATTTGTATCCTAGCTTCTTTGATAACTTTTGAATAGGATGAGAAAAATTGCGATCTGATAAGGGTTTAATGACTCGTTTCATTATGCCAGTTGTAGATCTTGGATTTCCATTACAATGATATATATATCTTTCATTCAATTTATATTCTGAGCTTTCATGATTGTCTTTTCGAATATAATAAGCTCCAGAAATATTTGGAAGAATATTTTTGATCCAATCCTTGTACGTTTCTAACTCTAGATGTGTGTAAATTTTCATATAATCGTGATCATTTACATTTACTTCTTGCAATTCGGGTTCATTATTAGATAAATCGATTAGTATATTATGAGTGGACATACTTTAACGTTAATAGATATTGATATGTATATTATAAATATAATTATTTTTTTTAAAAAATCAATCGAGGCTATCCCATATACAGAAATAATACGCGTGTATTGATTTACTGAATTTCTTTATTAATATATAGAAATTGTGCTTTTCATGCGCATATCATAGCTTTAAGCCCACGCACATTGTATTATTATACAGTGACTCACAGAAGAAACAGAACACCGAAAAAAAAATAGTAACAGGTCAATTTGATTCACTAATACTTTGAGTATTGATGAATCAAAAAATTATTTTGATCAATCTTCTAACAAAAAAGATTGATTTTTTTAATTTTTTTTGGCATTCCATTTAATATAACTGAATATACTAGTGAATGGAAGGCTATAAAAGCTAAGTACAAATGCTTTGAAATTCTCATTTACTGTAAATAAAATATATTTCCATAACACGCAACAAATATTAATCAAATTTTTACCTCCAATAACTCAAATTTCACAAGAAAAATATGCCCGAATACACATTCTCCAACAAGAAGGATATTTGATCCAGAAAATTGCAGCATCAAAGAAGGTGAATTTAGCTTCCATCTATAGAATATATCATAAGAAAGAAGAGACCAGAAGTTTCGACAAGCCAAAATCCAATCACCCACTAACTCTCTCAGTGCGTTATGAATGAAATGCTTTACGATTAATCTACTCCAGAAAAGGCATCACCACTGTTGAAGTCCAACGTGAGCTTAAAAATGAGTTGGGATTAATCTTTCGGCGGAGAGCATATGATGTATGTTCCGAAGAAACAGCTTATTTGCGAGTATCAAGCGAAAAAAGCCTTACCTCAAAAAACACATAGAAAATAACAATTGGCGTGGGTGAAAAAATACTAAAGTTGGATAGCTGATGATTGGTGACGCATAATTTTTTCTGATGAAAGCAAGTACTAAATTTTTGGATCAGACGGCCGAAAATATTGCTGGAAGAAATCTGGCGAACTGTTGAAAGAACAGCATATCACGCTGTCACGAGTCCCTTGGGCTCAGGTAGGTATTCTCGTGACGTGGGTGTTCAACCAATGTCTAATTCGATACTTCGGTAATTCGATCCAGTTGTGTTAGGATCACGGCGCTGTGCGGCTTCTTCTATTCTATTAATTTAGAATAGGAAACACTACTACTAATAAATATCTC